CGGGACGTCATTCTCCCCCTGTACTCGGCCTTAGTGAGGCCGCAGCTGGAGTACTGTGTCCAGTTTTGGGCTCCACAATTCAAAAAGGATGTGGAGAAGCTTGAGAGAGTCCAGAGAAGAGCCACGCGCATGATCAGAGGTCAGGGAAGCAGACCCTACGATGACAGGCTGAGAGCCCTGGGGCTCTTTAGCCTGAAAAAGCGCAGGCTCAGGGGTGATCTGATGGCCACCTACAAGTTTATCAGGGGTGACCACCAGCATCTGGGGGAACATTTGTTCACCAGAGCGCCCCAAGGGATGACGAGGTCGAATGGTCACAAACTACTTCAAGATCGTTTCAGGCTGGACATAAGGAAGAATTTCTTTACTGTCCGAGCCCCCAGGGTCTGGAACAGCCTGCCACCAGAGGTGGTTCAAGCGCCTTTATTGAACACCTTCAAGATGAAACTGGATGCTTATCTTGCTGGGATCCTATGACCCCAGCTGACTTCCTGCCCTTTGGGCAGGGGGCTGGACTCGATGATCTTCCGAGGTCCCTTCCAGCCCTGATGTCTATGAAATCTATGAAACTGGAAGAGAAAATGTTGTTTAGGTAAAAATTGCTTCAGGTGTCACAGTGGCCATAATGGTGACCATACGTTTATCCATAACTTCAAAACTTTGATCTCTTTCCACCCTACAGCTTCTCAAGGAGAGTGCGCAACCTGTGGTTTGGCTTCTCAAGGCAGCTTTGCCATTATCCTCCTTGAGGCCTCCAGCACAATAAAAAACACAAGTAACTTCTATCAGAGACTTGGGGTCAGGGCAGGCAGATGAGAATCGTGCCTCACTCACAGTAGGTTGTGTCAACACAGGTGTCTTACAGGACTCAGCACAACTGCTAAACTACCTCATGCTGGTGGAGCTTTGAACTGGGAGGGAAAAATCCTCCATCCTGGGGAAAATCTCCAAGATGTTTTTAATCATGTAATTTGTTCTGTTTTTCATAAGCTGTATTACTGCACTGCTTATTATTGGAAATACCTGAAAATTACAACCTCGCCTTGATCCTGCAGTCAGTTTTTGATGCTGAATTTTTGACAGAACGTTCATTTCCTCACCAGCACATCATGATGCCCCAAACATACAATTATGTCTTCAGCTGCTTGTACTTGATCCTGCACTGTTTTAATAAGGGCTTTCTCTTTCACATTCTACATCTCTGAAATAAGAGCAGAGGGAATACAGAAAATGACTGCCCAAGGAAATTGCTTTTTTATAAATGTTCTCTTCTCTCAAGTTTATTCCAGGGTGAGAGCCATGCTCCAAAGCAGGAATACACACCAACAATAGATAGTAATTATTCAAGAAGCTTAGCTTTGCCCAGCTGTACTCAGAAGTGATAGAGGGACGGCGGCTGCCACGTGCAGTCTGACTTGTAACGTTTCTCTTCTGTTTCCTATTATGTATCCTCATTTCACAGCCAAAGCATTACATTGCTTCTGTGATGATGATGATGATGATCTGCAACGCAGTAAGTTACGTGGAATTGGACTGGGTACAATGGTGCTCTAATTGCCAAATCAGTGGAGGCGATGTTTGCCAAAATTATTTCTTTCAATGGTCCTCACAAATAACAAAAGATTAGTAGACTGCCTTCCTTGCAGAGGTAGGCCTACAATGGAGTCGCAGATCCCCTTAAATGGTGGAAGACCATTCCTGTTGCAAAACCATTTGACATGAATATTGTGTTTCTTTGTGAAAGAGGGGCTGTAGGGGATGCTCTAGTCTGGGTTGTTGATTTAGGCTTTAACCTGTAAGTGAAAATGAGTTGAACCTCCTTGTTTTTATTGTTGTTAAATTTGCTCTCACATTTGTGTGAGAGGAAATCAAATGTGTGAATGCTGTCAATGTTGACTCCATACCTATCTCTTTCCAATACTGCAGGTGCTTGAGGAATTATGGAAGGGGGAGGGGAAGACCCCACTTCAGATTGTCAAGGAAAAACGACTAGAATTAATACAGAATCAGAGAGAGCTTGACCAGATCTGTCAAGCAGTCATGGAAGGACATCAGGAAGAGGTGATTATCAGAGGGGTGGGAAAATGGGTACAACAAGCATCAATACATTGGCAAGCTGGGGATCTAAATAAAATTGCCATCCTTCCTCTGGATTCGTGTGTATTTAGTACAGTTGCAGAGGAAAAGCGGGGAATCAGTAGTCTGGTTGGTCCAACAAGCTATGTCACTCTGCATATGCACAAAGATGATATATCGGAAGAAAGCACTTAAGAGTAGAGGTCCTCATTCCTTCCACTCTGTGCAGAAAGCACTTACATTAACTTGGCAAAGCTATTTTGATCAGTATAATTTTCTGATTTTGTGGGTCATGTTGGAGAGTATTAGAGTCAAAAAAGTGAAAATCCAGGGCACCTCACAGGAAATCATTTCTGGCTATCTCTACTGTATAAATAAGGTCAAAGGGACAGCACTAGAGTTGTCAAACCAGCTATTCAGTTCTGGAATACATCTTTGCAAAATCCATCTCTTTCACCTCCTCCATCCATCTACCCTCCAAGCCCCCAAAAATATTCCACACCTATGAGTAACCTTCTGCTATTACGTGCTATGTATGTAATAAAAGAAAGCTTGCACCTCCCTTGCAGTTTCAGGCTTTCAGAGTTTTTCAGTTAGAGGAAGTAAAAAAGAGCCTTGTAAATTATGTAGGGGGGGCGGGGGGAAATGCCTTGACAGTGTGCAACATCAGCTTTAAAAAAAAATCAAGTGCTTATGTGTTCTCTAGAGCACGAAATGTAAAAGCAGGA